CCATGAGGATGACGACGTACTCTAGGCACTACGTAACTACCGTTACTGACAGGGACACGGGGCACAACAAAAGCAGGTGTACCGACAGCTACTGACGCGGAGAGTTTTCTCTTCGCGCCTTTCCTGCCAACTGCAGGAGACGACCCTACTATACCAGCCGACGGCCAAGCGTCCGTGCGCGGAAGACCGCACGCCTCGCAGCAAAGATGCGAGCACCGATGATGACGAGTAGGGGTGCCCAGCTAGCGTAGCGCCTGCGGTAGAAGGGTCGTCTCCTGCAGTTGGTNAGACCGCACGCCTCGCAGCAAAGATGCGAGCACCGATGATGACGAGTAGGGGTGCCCAGCTAGCGTAGCGCCTGCGGTAGTAGGGTCGTCTCCTGCAGTTGGCAGGAAAGGCGCGAAGAGAAAACTCTCCGCGTCAGTAGCTGTCGGTACACCTGCTTTTGTTGTGCCCCGTGTCCCTGTCCGTAACGGTAGTTACGTAGTGCCTAGAGTACGTCGTCGTCCTCATGGTACTGAGAGAAAGCTTTTAGGTCTCACTGCTTTGTCTGAATTTCGTGTCCCCTCCCCGGTGCTTGATGCCGAAGAGGTAGAGCCTCTGCCATCGTCGCGTACACGTCCTACGTGTGAAAGTAGAAGCGCTGTGTCTTCAACTCCATTGAGTGTGCCCATCTGTAGCCGCGACGGCGATGTCGCCCCGCAGAAACGAGTCACTTTTGCTGAAGTTCAATCTGAGTCCGCCTCCATGTCCGATGATGCGTGTTGCCGTAGACAGTCGCGGCCTCGCCGCTCGTGTTTGCGTTCGAGTGTGAAGGAAGGGAATGTATTACCTGTGGATGAAAAATAAACTTCAGACGATGTGTGGTACAGCTCGAGGCTGGCGCACAAACCCAATCTTTCTCGCCTGTCTTTGTCTTTGTCGTCACGACGAGTACGTATTGACGGCTCCGTCGAAGACTGTTCCGTGAGTAACATTACGGTCGACACAGCTACTGATGTCTCTGTCGTGTCGCTTCCTTGGTTGCAATCCCATCCGACCTTGCGAAATGCGCCACTCAAACCTGTCCCTCCGGCCGCCGTATCCCTTCGAGCAGCGAACGGCTCGCCAATAGAGGTCAAGGGGTTCATTGATATTCCATGAACCCTTGGCGGTATCACCCGTATGGTCACCGCTTTTGTCGTCCCCTCCCTAGAACCCGATTCAATACTGTTATATAACAGCGTCATGTCGGATTTTGGTGCGATCCTAGATTGGGAACAACAAACCCTGTCCTTTTCGTCCTCTGGTATGCAAATCCCAGCTGTCCACCGCACCAACTCGTCCAGTGATACACGTAGAAAACGTCACCGCCACTCGAAACCGTCCGTGGCTGCTGTCCATAGCGACTCCATAGAGGTTGCTGTGTCTTTGCGTGAACGCGTCGATATTCCACCGATGCGTGAGGCTCTTGCCGTTGCCTACACTGATTGTCGTCCACCGGAAGATTGTACCGTCGTTGTCGAACCCCGGATCGTCTCCGAACAAGACTTAGTCCACGACGAAACACTTAGTCCCTTCCAAAACATTGTCGTTGCCCGTACTCTAGCTACATGGCACGCTTCCGATGGATCTGTCGTTGTCCAAATCGCCAATCCTTCTGCCGATGGCGTCCGTCTTTATGATGGCCTATGTCTTGGTCAATTGTCCACAGTGACTATCACTGAACCCGACCAACTCCATGTCAATTCTGTCGCGAACACACCCGTCACTGACGACGAAATTCGCCACGCCAAGTCCGAACTCGAAGAGCCTCTGTCCAAGGCCTTCGACAACACAACGCTCACCAACGAGCAACAACAAGCTGTCCTCGACTTGTGCGCAAAATACCGTCCTGTCTTTTCTCTGTCAATGTCCGAACTCGGCCGCTGCACCATTGCAGAAGCCACGTTCCCCGTGCCGCCAGGCACGCGTCCTGTCGATCGTCCGCCGTACCGTCCGAATCCCCGCGTAGCCACTGTCTCCGACAAATGTGTCGCCGAAATGCTCGAATGGGGTATCATTGAAAAACGGCCCAGCGCATGGGGAAGCCCATGCACACTTGTCGCTAAAAAGAACGGCAGTCCCCGTTTCTGCGTCGACTACCGCCACACCCTCAACCGCCACATCGTCCGTAAAACCTGACCCATGCCTAACCTCGAGTCCTGCCTGGATGCCGTCGGCCAAGCTCTCTACATCACCGTCGCCGACATCCTCAGCGCCTTCTGGCAGATCCCCGTGGCAGAGGAGCACGTCGACCGTACTGCATTCGTCACCCCTACCGGCAAGTACTGTTTCAAGCGTATGCCGTTTGGAGTAGCGAACGCACCGTGGCTTTTCCAACATGTCATGTCTCTAGCTCTAGGTCATCTAGGTCCAGACTCTGGTGTTCTTTCGTACATGGACGATTTGATCTGTATCAATCACACGTTCGAAGCTCACCTGTCATCTCTCGAGAAAATGTTCGCAGCATTGCAAGCAGCAGGGCTCACGCTCAAACCGTCGAAAATTCAATTCGGTCAGAAAGAAGTCGACTATTTGGGTCATGTCATCTCCGCAAAAGGTATCTCTGTCAGCACCGACCGTATTGATGCCATTCGCAACCTGCCCACTCCCACCTGCATCAAAGATCTCCGATCTGTCCTAGGCATGGTGAATTTTGTCCGACGTGCCATCAAAGATTACGCCGATGTCACTGCTCCGCTGGTCGAACTCACTCGAAAAGATTATGTCAAACGTGCTAGTTTTAAAAAAGCATGGGGGTCGGCCCAAGATGCCGCCTTCGAAAATGTCAAGAGAGTCCTGTCCTCTACACCTGTCCTCCACTTTCCCGATTTTTCTCGAGAATTTGTCGTTCACACCGACGCCTCTGAACAAGGCGTAGGCGCTTTCCTCGCTCAACCATCCCGTGATAGTGCCGACGGTAAAGAACTCGATATCGTCGCGTTTTACAGCAAACGTTTTTCTAAGGGCCAACGCCATTACAGCGCTACCATGAAAGAATGCATTGCGGTTGTCTGGGCCCTCACCCACTGGCGCCCGTACCTTTGGGGCCGCCATTTTACGTGTAGCACTGACCATCAAGCGCTTACGTATCTGTACCACATGCAAGACACGTCCAACATGTTGACGCGCTGGGCTATCGCACTCCAGAACTACGATTTTACTGTCAAACATGTGCCGGGGAAACTCAACGTTGTCCCCGACGCTCTGTCCCGTATTTTTAGCGAGGTTAACGGCGATCATGTGCCTTCCGAACCGCGCCTTGCGGCTATCTGTCGCAACGTGCCAGACGATAAACCATTTTGTCCCCCTGTCCCTCGCGATTACGAAGTGTCTTCTTACAACCTCGATGAAACCGCGCTCGTCGAAAGCGACCGCGAATTATTTTCGAGTGCTGTCTCCGTCTTCCCGGTAGTCGATTCTGTCAAGCTGTTGGATCACCAAAAACGCGAGTTCCGCCAGTATTTCGATTACCTTGCTTCTCCCGCAAAATCCCCTGTTCCCTCGAACCAGTCTAAGTCTAGCATGAGCAAATTTTTCCTTCATGAAGGTTTGCTTTGTCGTTCGTACATCCCAGCCCACCTACGTCGTCGGGCTCACTTCCGCGATCAACTCGTGGTCCCGTCCTCACTACGAACCCTTGTCATCTCCTCATGCCATGACCTACCCTCCTCTGGAGGCCACCTAGCCTTCAAAGGTACTTTCGACAAAGTTCGCGACCGCTACTGGTGGCCAACTATGCACTCTGATATCACGCGTCACGTTCAGAGTTGCGAATCATGTCAACGTCGGAAAACGTCCTACCGACCGCCTCAACTGCCTGTCGGCCATCGTCCAGTAACGCAACCCTTCCAATGCGTAGCTGTAGATCTTGTTGAATACAAGTCACTGTCCGAAGGAAACCGCTACATCCTGTCTGTCATCGACCATCTCACGCGCTTCGTCATATTGATCCCAATCAAATAAAAAGAAGCCACTGTAGTAGTGCGTAACCTTGTAGACCGCGTCTTTTCGGTGTTTGGTCCGCCGGAAACTCTGCACTCTGATCAAGGCAAGGAATTTGAAAACCGGCTTGTGAAAGAACTGCAGTCTGTCTTTGGGTACAAGAAAACCCGTACCGCCGCGTATCGTCCTAAAAAAACTCTGTCCTTGAGCGTGTCCACAGTACCGTCCACAACATGCTCGCTATGTACAGCAACCTGGCTTGTGATAATTGGTCGGAACTGTTGCCGTTTGTCCAACTTGCGCATAATACCGCGTACTCCACGACCCTACAGGAGACTCCTCATTATCTCATGTTCGGTCGCGCGGCCAAACTTCCGGTCGATCTCATTCTCGGTGTCCCCTCTACTCCGGCTCCCCAGAGTCGCCTCGATTACTCACGCCGTACCGTCGAGAATCTCCAACTAGCGTACGAGTTAGCTCGCCGCAACCTCAAAGAACGCTCATCTAAACAAGCGGATGCGAATGAGAAACTGTCCTTCCCTAGCGTTAGGTTCGGTGACCAAGTATTTGTCCATCGTCCGTACACCGAATCGGCTGGACCCAATCCCAAGCTCATTAGCCCTTGGCATGGTCCGTACACTGTCCGGGCCCAACTTTCGCCCGTCATCTATCGTGTCTCGAAACCTAACGAGCCGACCGAAACCACCGTCCATCTGGGTCGCATGAAACCGTACATCGCCCCTACTTCGTCTCCGGTCCCGGACCCTGAAACACTCGATGAACTGTTTTTGGGAACAACGCTCCCGTTGCCGGATCTCAATGGTTCCACAACCGCCGTCACCCTCGGTCCGTACACCATCGAATTTATCGACGGTCATAAACGGGGGGTAGGAGCAGCCTCGCTGGACAACTTCCAGTACCACCTCAAGTTGAAAGACTACTCGTCACAATTGGGTCTCTGGCGCCACTACCGTGCTATTCCCCAATGTGCCGAAATGATTGCATCCTACCGCGCCGAAATCTTGTCCCAAGATCCCTCAGCATTTTCCCCACCTCGGAGGAACGTCCGTTCATCCTCCGCCGCTAGCACTTAATATGGGCTTACTGTCTGCGCAATCTTGTCCAGCACCGTTTGTTATAATGGTCTGCCGTCCACCAATCCATCGGTTTGGCAACAACCTTTGGTCGACGCCCGCGTGCTTGTGATGTCTTTTGTTTGATTTTTTTTCTTACTGCTGCGGCAATATCGAGTAACAACATGTTTTCCTGTGCGTACTCGGGGGTAGTCCGTACCCACATGGCTTTTCTCCTGGTGCCCATGATTTTCATTTGGGACCCGTGCGAAGTACCGCGCACGCCTTGTCGTTATTATATTTTGTTTTAGTTCCCGGCCGCATGTTTCCACGCCGCCCGGCAACTTCATTGATGTGTATTCTTGTCCCGTTGGTTAACGTCCCGTGGTTCGACTTCGTTACATCACTTGACGCCCCGCATCGTTTATATGCGCTAGAGCACTCGCACTGCCAGTAAGATGGGCGCCATTTGGTATTCTACTCCGTCTCCACGCGACGTACCGACACAGGCTTGCCTGCAATTTTCTTCTAGTGTGAATCGAGCGGTTGGTACCGCCACTCTTCGTGTCTATGATGTTTTTGGTGCGTGTATTGTCTCCCGCGTTGTCTTGGTGTATTCCACCCGATTTTTTTTATGTCGGGACCCATGTCCACTCTGCTTTCGTCGTTGCTATTGTGTCATTTGGTACTACTTGCAGCTTAGCGGATGGGGGGTCACCAGAGACCAACGACGGATGATTAATAAAAACACGATTTCAAAACACCTTTGCCTCCAGGGTATCACACGCCCTTGTCTTATCCAGCCTCGCCTCTCTCCGATCTCGGACAAGCATCGCTGATGACGACTGCTTGTCGCAGTGTGTACATACCGATGAATTCGATTTGTCCTGTGTTCCATCAATTCTCGGCCTTGCGACAATCAATGTGTTCTTTTTTCTTCGTCATGTCCAACGTCAACACACGTCTGCCCTGTCTCCCGTCATTGTTGACGCACTGCCTAGCTTGATAACTCGCATTTCGTTATGCGCAAGAGCTCTGACCAGCCTACAAGATGGTTGTTAACTAGNCTCTGACCAGCCTACAAGATGGTTGTTAACTAGCGCACTGTATCACCGCAATGATGTAGCCATGCTGTCTATGTCTCACTTCGGTGACCTCATGTGCCCTGTCGCGTGCCATATCTTGTCTGGCCACGGTACGCAACGTTGCCCTGCACATGCTTGTCTCCCAGGATCTTCTCTAACTGCTGTGATTTGTAAATACACGGATCATAGTATCTATAAATATTTTTTTGTCTTGTACGAGTTGTCAGCCCTGCAGGCCGCAACGCAGAAATGC